AGGGTTGCAATCCGTTGCCGGACACGGAAAAAAGACAAAAAAAAATAAAAAATAAAAAAATAAATAAAAATGAATTTCTTTTCCATTCCTTGGCAGAAGTCAGTACAAGAGTTTTGGGGGTTTTTTTGTTTTGTTTTTTGCTGAGGCTTCCAATTAGGTTTAGTAACATTAAATTTGCATTGCTTAGCCTAAATTTATTGTAGGGCTTTAAAAACATTGATTATAAACTGTTTCCCCTTTTGGGGGGCTAACAGAATCACATCTACAAACAATAAGACTTCCATATTCTTACATACAGAGTTCTCCCGTTTATTCTTCATGTAGTTTAGGTAAAATTCAAGGAGCTAGAAGATACAAATTCAGTTTAGCAGAGAAGTGAAGGGAGTCATCAATAGGTCATTTCCTCCCTCCCCCAGAGGTGGTGACAGCACCTTTTTACTGAAATACAAATCACAGAGTTAAGTAGGTTAATGAGCTTCCCGTGGGTAGGGCAGGCACATCGCTTCTAAACCAAGAAGACATAACGTTTGCAGATTTTAACTAGGATGGAAGAGGGAAATGTCCAAGGAAACAGGCTCAGATTCAAATAGGCTTCTGCAAAAACCCCGTGGAAAAAGACAACATTTGGGGGCAATTATACAGGATGAAATCACCCCAAATCTCAGGATGGCAGTGGATGTCCGGTCCTTGGAAGGAGGTCACCATGTGGTCCTAAGAGAAGGATTCTCAGTTCTGGCTGTGAGGGACTTCAGACCAACTTCCCATTGACTACAACTAGAAAAGCTGAATAAAGTTATTTTAAAAACTTGTTCTAAGGTATTGGAGGGCTATGAAGGAAGTCAGGATGTGAGAGGCCAAGCCCTTAAGGAGAAGGGAAATAAAAGTGAGGCAAGTTGGACATTTTGTACTGCTTTCCTTTTGAGACATCTACTAGTTTTTATGAAGCACAGGGCAAAACTGGTGCAACACCAAGCAGAAAGCAGCTGTTTAGTGTCACATAAAGTGAGCAGACCTCTTGTCGGACTCGCAGCCTGAGAGGATCCCAGAGAGAAGGGAAATGCAGAAAAGCGAGCCCAACATTCTGCCTCTCTAAGCGTTTGTTGATTGATAAGAGGTGGAAACCAAGCAGAAAGCAGCAGCTGAGCAGCTGGGGAGTTAAACAGAGCTTCTGACAGCTTCATGGGGCTGGGGGAATGAAATTAGAGTTCAGGGCACACCAAAAAAGGAGTCCGGGCAATATCGCATGCTTTCAGTAGCTCTGGAGGGCTCACCCTGGGATGAAGGCCTAAAACATACCAGAATCCAGCTTTAAAATCAGTTCAGTCCCTCAGTCCTTCACTGGATTAAGGAGGTCTGCCCTACTCTGATTATCAGAGGCAAAAGTAAGCCCTCTGGAGAAGAAAAATAACAACCTCCACAGTATCTATGAGTTTTTATACATAATATCCTGCATTCAATCAACAATTACTAGATATACCAGGTCATAGGTTCAAGAAAAAAAGAGACAATAAAAACAAACCTAGAGGTGACCCAGATAAGAGTCCTAAGATATGGTCTTTAAAATACCGATGATTAATATATTCAAGGTTATAAAGATTGTAAAAAAGATTTAACACACATTCTTCAGTAACTCACAGAACAAGCAAAAACTTGAGTAAGTATACAAAAGATTTGAAAAACACAATAATAAACTCAACCTTAGTAACCTATATAGAAAATTGCACCCAACAACTGACTGCAGATTCCAAAGTACACATGAAACATTTACATAAATTAATCACACATAGGCCACAAGGTAGGTCTCAAGAAATTTTAACAAGTGGAAATCACTGAGTACTTTTTTGAATTTATTATTTTGAGATAACTACAGATTCACAGGAAACTGTAGAGAAAGTTCAGTTTTTCAAAACTGAGGTAAAACTTACAGTAAAATGCACTGCTGTTAAGAGCATACAGTTTGATACATTTTGATAAAGGGGTCCAACTGTGTAACCACCAACAAAATAAAAATGTAGAACATTTCCATCATTCCAGAAAGTTCCCCACACCCGCTTCGTTTAATCCCCACACTCGATGGCAACCACTGTTCTCATTTCCATCCCATTGATTAGCTTTGCTTTTCCTTGAGCTTCATAAAATGGGCTCATAGAGTATTTCGTGTGTCTTGCTTTATGCAGTCAGCATGTCTCAGATTCATCTACACTGTTGAGTGTATCAATAGTTTGCTCCTTTTTATAACACAGAAATATTCCACTTTATAAAAATATCAGAAAAAATTTTAATATTCTCCTGTGGATGGACATTTGATTGTTTCCATTTAGGGCTACCATGAGTAAAACTGCAATGAATATTCTTGTACGAGTCTTTTTGTGAACACATATTTTCATTTCTCCCATGTAAATTCCTAGGACTGGAACTGCTAGGTTATAGGATGATGAATGTTTATAAGAAACTGCCGAACATTTTTCCAAAATGGTTGCACTATTTTATACTCTTTCCAGCAATACATGAGAGTTCTGGTTTACACAGCCCCATCGACATTTTGTGTTGGCAGACATCTAGTTTGAGCCATTCTAGTGTGACTCCTACAACTCAGTAACAATAAAACAAACAACCCAATTTTAAAAATGGGTAAAGAACTTGAATTGACATTTCTCCAAAGAAAATATATAAATGCTGATTAGCACATAAAAGGATGCTGACCATCACTAATCATTAGGGAAATGCAAATCAAAACTACAATGAGATACTACTTCACACATTTTAAAAATGGGTAAAGAACTTGAATTGACATTTCTCCAAAGAAAATATATAAATGCTGACTAGCACATAAAAGGATGCTGACCATCACTAATCATTAGGGAAATGCAAATCAAAACTACAATGAGATACTACTTCACAACCCTTAGGATGGCCATTATCAAAAATACAGAAAATAACAAGTGTTTGTGAGGATGCAGAGAAATTGGAAGCCTTGTGCACTGTTGGGGGGAATGCAAAACAGTACAGTTGCTGTGGAAAATAGCACAGTGATTCCTCAAAATATTTTTTAAAAAATTACCATATGATCCAGAAATTCCACTTCTGGGTATATGTGCAAATAAACTTTTATAAATTATTACAAATAAATTTTAACATGTAGGCAAATTGGCAAATATAGACATGAATAATAAGGTTTAACTATATTTCTATGTATAGTTCAAGTCTGAAATCTGGTTTTCCTTTCTTAAATTGCTTCCCTTTTATACAAAAGAGGGCTGGTGAAGCTCCAAACAAATATCTTGACTAAGAGCAAGGTGTTAGCTAAACTAAACAAGCTTTACGGTAGCCCATTTACTGTTGAGGTGGCAATTTACAACTTGTTCTCTGTTGAACACTTATGTTTGGAACATTCCCGACATCTCTATTCATTTCCTTTCCCATATCCTCAGGGGGAACTTCACAGCACACTTGAAATGTTAACAGTGTGTTTTTAATTCAGGAATGAATATATCTGGGCATCTTTTTCAAAGACAAGAACAAAATCGGCCAGGATGAGGCAATGTATGTTTGGCACCGTACACCAGGGACTGGCGGGGAAGAGGAAGGAGAGAAGGAAGGACAGGGCGATCCTTTAATGAACTCAGAACATGTAAAATGAACTTTTTTCCCTTTGCCATGGCCATGACTAGGATGTTTCACAGCCCCTGCTGTCTGTGAAGTCGCCCTAAAAAACAAGTGCTAAGAGTTGCCTGTATTTCAAGCTCTCAGCCCAGCAGTCAGGAAGACTGAGTGCTAGGACCACATCTCCAGGTTTTGTTTACTTCTGCAAATCGTGATGCCTGTGATCTGGCACTTGGGAACAAATTGTAACAGAGAAACTACAGTTGAATTACTTAGAAGGTTTCTGCCCAGGAGTAGGAACTGTGCTGTGTGCTGGTTCCAGCCAGACAGAGTTAGGTTTCTATCTGGGTGACTTCAGTTTTGCAGCAGATACAACACGGTCCCTTTGAGCAGTGTCTTGTCAGCCCATTCTCAATAGCACTTGGAAGAAGAAGCAGTGACACCAGTTTTGGTGGCTCTCAGTGGACAGCAGGACCTGGATAGCGTTACTATCCTCCTTTTCCTGCTCTGAGGCCCCCACCCTGACAGTAGGGCATAACAGGAATGATCCAGACTTTAGGCCAAGAGACCCATATCCCCGTACTGGTTGAATATAAAATTATATTTTGAAGTTAGAACAAAGAAAGAAAAAACAAAAGGCTATAGATTACCTCCTTGCCTTTCTCCTCTACCTCCATGCACTAGCATCAGGACTACAGAAATTCTGCTCCTCCATCTCCTGCCTTCCCCAGCCTCTTACCCAACAGAACTTCTGGAAACGTGTAGGTGCAAAAGATCTACTTATAGCTGTGTGGCTACAGCTATAAAGGTGGAAAACCTAAAGCCATCAGCACGTGGAAACATCTTCATAGATGCCTCATGCATAGGAGTCAGGCTAAAGGGTTGAAATCCCCACCTCCAACCCCTATGATCTTATACCTTTCTACTATTCCCCTGCACAGAAAACACTTCTTCACCAAGCTACAAG